TTAGCCTAGCCTTCTTTAAAGAACTTAAAATGCAGAAATGTTCCATTTTGAAGTTAATTAAGGGCCACGTTGTATGTAAACCTAGACTTGACCAAACATGTCCAGCTAATGTAAACATCCAGCAATATTATGAGTGCTTGTGTGTTCAGTCTAGGGTTAGACCTCTTTTGCCTATTTGTCTTTGTTGAGCCTATTCCTTTATAGCCTAGATGAATAAACCTAGTAATTGGAAAACAGTAACCTTAGTGATCATATTGGTAAATTCTCTCAAGATAGAGTAGAACTGTTCCCTCTTTGGGCCACTTGACAACACATATCTTTTGGGTTTTTCAGGGTGACTTGGGTTGGATGACCAGGGGGTCCATGGTAGGACCATTTCAAGAAGCAGCGTTTGCCCTGCCTGTAAGTGGACTGGATAAGCCTGTGTTTACAGACCCTCCAGTTAAGACGAAATTTGGATATCATATTATTATGGTTGAAGGAAGAAAATAAAATCATATGAAAGACTGAACCAATGTTACATTCAGTTTATCTCTTTATAAGGTATTAAATAATCCTTGTACTGTATGAACTGTGTCAGTGTGGGTTTGTAAGTACAAAATAGGTTGGGTGTAGGTTAGTATTTAATGTAATAGGTATTCTGTCAGTATTAAAGTCAAGGTGACTCCCTTTAACCTCTGTACTTACTGTTTTTGCCCAGAATGACCTTATCTGATTTTCATTTAGTTCCATAAATTAATTCTGAAATCATCTCTAGGGAAGCCAAACATCAGCTTACACTATTCATGCAACTGAAAATGCTAGGCATTGAATGAACAGATGAATACACAAGAATCATAATAAATTCCTGGACAACACTTGTTTTACAAGTTAGCCAGCATTGATCTACCAGAATAAGAATTGGTCTTTAGATACTTAACATAGTACAAAGGAGCCCTAGTGGCACAAAAGTTAAGCACTTAGCTGCTAACTGAAAGTTCAGTGGTTTGAACCCACCTGTGACTTCGTGGGAGAAAGACCTGGCAATTGCTTACATAAAGATTACAGCCTAGATAACTATATAGGGTGATTCTTCTCTGTCACACGGGGTTGCTATGAGTTGAAATCAGCTTGAAGGCACTTACCAATATAGTCCATGACACATAAACTCTTTTAAAATAAACATTTATTGGAGAAACAAAGGCATTCTATTCTCCCCTAAGTTATTTGTACCAAGTGTAGGTAAAGGGAAGATATGTCAGCGTAAGAGGATATATATAATCATTACTGCATCTCCAAATGCATGGGTTACATTAGGACTATACCTTTGAGAGCCAACTTTCTATGTGTCTACATTTAAAAAATTTTCAAATGTAGTATTTACGATGTTCAAAAAAAGCATGAAGTCTTGATCAAAGGGGGGAAATGCAGAACAGAATTTCAGATTCTCATGGACTCCAAACTTTCTTAAGCCATGAAGGATGGGTAAACCCCTGACACTGTTGCCCTGAGATAATCTTTAAAGCTCCACCTTTT